TATATATATATATATAAAAAAAATGATGAGGTAATTGTTGTTCGAGCTTGTCCTCTATATCTGGAGAATATAATTTGTAGGCCAGGGCATCGCTGTAGCATCACAACCCTTCATTTATGGTTTGTTGTGACACATTTGGATATTGCACTTGGCCATATTATATTAATATTTCTCACTGTATTTAATTGTTATAAACTATTCAAAAACAATCCACACTTTACTTAGAGGAATATGCAGAAATGTTCAGGAATTTAATTCAGTTTTTCTATTTCTCTTGATTGTAATTGTGACATTGATGTCCATCTGACAGTAGTTGAATTCACTTAATTCACTCACATGAGGATAATCTGACTTGAGTTTAGTTGTTCAAATATTTTACAGAATCTCAGAATTTGCTGGGATGTTTAATCCGGAAGACAGACTGATTTTTCTTTCTGTTTTCAATTTGTTTCAACTGAGTTTCAAGTCTTGATCACTGCAGATGTTTTGCCTTTTTGTGATACAGAGCAGTAAAGACCTTAATAATCATTCTGTTCTCTAGTGCAGCAGGTTTTAGTTTAGAATATAAAAACATAAAATAATGTGCTGTCAATAAAGTACTTCATATTACTCGGGGACAATGCAGATTTCTTGCACAGAAAAGTAGGACTAAAGTTTTAGAAGTCGTCTGTTTCACTGAGCTCACAGTCCAACATTTCCTGCTTCAGCCTCATGAAACTAAATGTAACTGCACAATTAAACTTTGATCTAAAATACAAATCAGCACTGTGGAAAGAGAAAGAAAGAAAAAGCAAACCACACGTTCCCCTCATCATCAGATGCACATCGTATGCTACGATTTTATTATTTAGCCAAAACAGCTTTTATACATAGAAAATAGGAGACAGTTAGTATTCAGGAACTGAAAACAAAACGTACAAGAGCCAGAGGTAAAGAAATAGGTTGGCCCAGTAATTAAAAAAAAAAAAAAGTTTCCCTCTTAAATGTTTAAAAATGTAATAAAACCTAATGGATCAACTGGTTATCTGTTATTTTTTTATTAGCAAGAATCATGAAAAATCTACAGGCAAATATGGTGATGAAGTTTGTCGTCCTCTTAGCTGCAACTGTTATGTGTGGCGGGAAAATTACATCGTCTGATCTGACAGATAAAAATTTTACATTCACGAGCCATTTTTAATAAAATAAGACAAAAGAATATTTATTAGTGTTTCAGCTAAAAGTCACAAAATCATTTAAGCGTCAGTCATGAATGTAGTTAATCAGTGTTGATTTCCAAATGTAAAATGTTTTCATTCTCCAAATTCTTTTCTCTCAAATATCAGTTTTTCAAAGATTAGGAATAATTAGAGGGATATTTAATTATATTCTAATTTTAATTTAATTATATTTTATAGCATATCAGCTGTAACATTTTATTACAAGATATTTCTGTTCCATTAATTAATGATGAATTTTAAATAATATCAGAATTAGCTGGGTAAGTTTAATTGTTTTTTCCTGTTTCTGATTTTAATTTTCAAACATTTTGGCCACAAATTAGAAAAACATATTTTTCAGAGGGACAATCAATTCAATACTGAAGAGCACCATGTGCACATTGTAGTGTTAACACTATATTTCTTCTTCTTTGTCTCAAATTATTTCCCAATTCCTCAATCTAACCAGGAAGAGTCGAGGCTGTTAGTGTTTTGTACAACTATAGCTCTAACTCTACGAGGCTCTCTGCCTTAATAAGTAGTCGTGGCTAAAAGCCCTGATCAAGAACCTGATCATGGTCATAGATGTCCATCAAATTTAACCCTGGACATTTCAGTCACTTATAACTTCTAAATGTGAACACATTGGATGTTAAGCAATCTTAAAGGTGGACAGAAACATTTTCAAACAGTATGAAGTAACAAAAAAGACCAAAAATCTGTCAGACTGAGAAAGGTCTCCTCATAAAGCCAGATGTTTTTGTGACTGCACTCATTCAACATTGTTTTCCCCAACCTTTATAGATACTAAGAAGATGACCTACTATCTGGTGAGTTTCTATTTTCAACATTCCTCTACAAAAACATGTTGTGATCTGACCTGACCAACTAAAGTCAAGGATCTGGGAGTTGGAAAATCTAGGACCATGATACACATAGTATAACAGTCCGGGGTTAGGCATAAACTTCTTTCCAAAAATAGATTTTCCTCACTAAAAGCATCAGATTCCTGCTATGGAGAAATGTGGATAACTGTTTTTAAATGTGATTACAAATGTGATTTTATCTATTTCTAACATTTACCTTGAGAGAAAGTGACAGTTTAAACCAAACTGGTAATATTTAACAAAATGCATTAGGGAAACCATTGTAGAAGAGCACCTGAAGTAAGAATATCATACACACAAAAGTAAAAATCCAACCCAGAGTGTTCTTTATGCACTGTAAGAAATTTGGCAACTTGTGTCAAATGAAAGGCTAAACGTTGAAGGGCAGGAACACACTGACAGCTGTTGTTACTTACAGCTCAGGGACAAAATTGGCCTGGACACACAATGAGGACTTGAAAAGTGATTTTTAATCTAACTTGCATCTAGACTAAGATGATTTTTCTGACCAGATGCACCGTAAAAAATATACTGTAATTTGAAATAACTGAGCAAATGATTTTCTGGATCTTCTGTTACTAAGATGTGATTCCGTGTAATCACTTTTCTAATCCTCAGTGTGTGTGTGAGCATCACTCAGATCATTGATAACACACACATTTACAGAGTCTTCACAGGCTCGAACCTTCGGCTTCATACGCTTGTTATCGCATCAGCTACATGACTGTATTCGTTAACCTGCAAGGCGAAATGAACAGAGTGAAAACAGATAGAAAGCAGACAGGCTTCAGTCATCATACAGACGTGTCAAACTGCTGTCACATAAAATATGAAACATCAATGATCCCTGAAGGAAAACAGACCGGATGATGGGCGGTATCTAAAATGCAGTCTGGTCCAGTAGAGACCAACTGAGAGGGCGGGAGTAGTTCCAGTAGAAAAAAGTCTATTAGATCTTTGTTTAACTAAAAAAAAAAAAAAAAAAAGACAACATGCATATTAAATACATTTGTTAATAGGTTTTATATGCTCAACAGTACAGTTTGGAGAATAAAAACGTGGAAAAACCACAAATAAAATTGATTTAAATGAATAAATACATAAATAATTTGACTTGTGGTGACTCTATTAACAGTATCTAAGTAGCAACAGGGGAGTTTTGTGCATTTCAGCTTGTTATGCTAACCACCTGCTAATACAAGTTAGAGATTTTTACCTCATCGGGCTATTTGACATTTAGTAATCACAAGCTATTACAGGTTTATATATTTGTTGCGGTTACACATGAATATTAGTACATAGCAGAGCCTGCTTGTGTCCTGTCGTAACAGTCTGTTGAACCACAGCTAACGGTGGATTTTCAGTCAGGTTGTAGATCTGATGTATTAGCCTCATCTGGCGCCATACTGGAGGCCCAGCTTAAAAGCCTTGTTGTAAATATTCAGTAACATTTTCAAACAAATAAATTAGATTTGTTCTTGTGCTACACTGCTAGCTTAAGAACTGTACATTAGTGTACATAGTGTCCAAAGTACATGAATTTAAAATGTAGATATTAAGCTAACAGTTCATCAGCTAACAAAACACAAAAACATCAAACTCAGAAATGACCAATTTCTTTGTCTACACAATGGATTTGGCTAAGAAAGGCTAACTGAAATATCTTGTTTTTATACTGATTTTAGGCTAACAACAAACTTAATTTGTGAAATTGTAAAATGTCTTTTGAATCTTGTTGAGATGACCAAATTGCACATTAAGGAATCCAATTAGTCATAATATTTGCAGTCAAAGCGCAAAGGACTTCCAACATGGCTGCCAGAGGGTGTTTTAAACCACCTGAAAAACACTGTTTATAATATACTGGACAGTTGCTGTTTGATGGCTAGTAAGCACAAACAGTTTAGGACTACAGAAAGCTAGACTCCAGACCAGATTATATACCTTTTAGGATATTGTGCACCTGTCCTCCTCCTAGAAAATGTACACTCTCTAGTGGTCTACTTGGATCAGTCTCCATTTTACATTTGCATGTGTAGTACTGGGACAGTGAACTAAACGTCTCTGGATTTTAATTTTATCAAAAATTTGAGCGTATTTCAGTAGTTTTGGTGAACTGGTTACAGAGTTTGTAACTACTGAGTCACATTATACATTATTCTTCTTGTGAGGACTGAGGTTGAAATCTCAGTATTAGCAAGCATTTGACCTGCCAAAGTGCCCTTGAGCAAGACGGTGAATCTCTGCAAGCAAATCTTTACTTTCATTTTATTATATTTATGAGGATAGCAGTAATGATGCTACAGTAGAAGCTCAGCAGGTTGGCTAGTTAGGTTACCTGGTTATCCTCTGTTTTGGCTAGTTTTACGTTCAGCTACGTTAACTAGCCAACGTATAAAACATAGCACAAGCAAATTGCACAGTAATGTTAGAAGAACGCCACATATACAGATATTAGCTTAAATTTAACATAGCCTTAGGAAAGGTCCAAAAACTCTTTAACAAGGCAGATATATTGTTATAATTGACTTGTGAGTGCATCAGTGCATTTTGTATTTTACCAAAGATGTTTTGAGGCATAGTTTCTCAAATAAATTTACAAGAAATTATTTTGGTTTACTAGTTGTTTTAAAGTTTTTCTTATTACCTTTTAATTAATTCAGCTGTTGAGGCTCAGACTATATACAGTTAATCCCTGGCGAAGACGTATATCTGTCTTTTCAGTCAATCCAGTGTTGTTTACTTTACTTAATGAAATGTAATGCAATCAATGAGAGTCATTCTTTAGGTTGTTCCCCTTCAAATCATTTATAAATGTTAAGTAGTAGAGTGTACATTGACTTAACCTTATTTTGTTTCGTTAACTTTTAATTGGCGTCCTTATGTTGAAATTACCAATTTTATTCAAACATGACAATTAGTCTACAAAAACAATGTAAAAGTTCAATGGTGCTTTTTACCTTAAATGTACTTCCCTTGATTTTTAGTAGTGCACCCATCAGGAGGCACTGTTGGACACTATAGCAGAATCAGGGAGTGTATCTGACAGAATGAAAATACTGTAACTGTAGTACACTGTCCCAGCACTGAAGCGCTGACTCAGCTGTAGCTTCACAAAAATAGTTCAAGCCCTACAAGTCCACAACTGTTTACATCTGTGCCGACTAAATATAGCTCACTTCCAGAACACAGGCTTCACTACAACAGACCCGTACACTGATCCACATCACTCCGATTACTACAGCTAAGTAGTAACAAGGAACCTGTAGTAACAATTACTATTGCTACCATGGACTTTGAGTGTATGCTAACACACAGTGCACAGTTGCTACATAGCTGGTAGGTTAAAAGAAGAACAACGAACAGGGACAGAGGTGTTTGGAGGCCGTCTGTAATGGTTCTTAACTGTAGTTGTAATAGCGATTATTGGTTTAGTTTTCCATTGTTTTGATTTGTTGTTTAGGTGCTTCACAGAAAATAGAAAAATACAATAGTTAAAGCCAAATACTGTCCCACTATCAAACAGTCCCTACACTATCTTTGATTTTCAGTTCGAAAGAATCGAAGACAGGACATTGTTTTGTTTGGTACAGTTAACACTAGACTCAATCTAGCAAGTTACAGGTATCCACTGATAGTGCTCCGCTAATGCTGACAGCGTTTACAACCACTGCAGGGACGTTATGGGCTTCACTGACTTATGAATCTAATTTAAGAGCCACAATGATCGTTAATGCTGGGGCGAACTTTAAGAACATGCAGGTCAATCTACTGAATGTGGTAGTAAAGGCTGTAACAACAAAAAAATCCTTAGTTGCTATGCGAATGGTTACATGCCACTCTTCATTATTCTAGCCTACATATACAAATACTCTTTCAGTTCCATAGAAGCTCGATTTTTCTTTCAGGCTGTCTTTATTCTCTATCGGACACCCTATCTATGTTTTTACATTAAAAAAAATCCAGCATAATGTCAATTAAATAGAGAACATTTCAGTTAAATTCAGCACACAGGCTTTTGGCACCTTGAGAGAAAACGGGAGACTACAGGGATGTAAAGGGACGGACAAAACATACAAACACATCAAAATATAAATATGTACATACAAATAATGATTTGATCTTTTGAAAATACTCCATCACTCCTTCCAGCTCACGTTTATCTCTTTGAGAATTTCTCTCTTCTTCATCTATCATCATCATCTTCTTCCCGTTACTACACCCATTACATTGTGTAGTAACATAACATTTAGTTATCAGTTCTGCTACAAGAACGACCTTGTACATCCCGCTTATATTCGACGAGGACGACCCGTCACGCCTTTTCTCTTAGATACTGAAGTTGCCCTGAGGAAATGATCTCAGATCAGCGCCAGTGTTCCCAGTAGTAACCTCAGAGGGGAATTTAACTGGGATTAGTCAAGTGCAATACTAAAGGGAGAAATGCTTCAGTTAGTCTCCAAAGCAACAAAATGTGGCACTGTGGAGAAATTCTTGGCCTAAACAAGTCGACTCTCCAACTGATACTTGATGATGGATAATTCATTTTGTTTCAGATTTGTCATTTTCAAACAAGAAAGTTCTGCCTTTTACACACAGTAGTTTGAGGGTCTTCCTTTAGTATCAGTTTAGAGAAGACATCAGATCATATCCCACTTGTGGGAGCTTTCTTTGGTCCAAAATGAAATATCCATAATTTAATTAATAACGACTCTTTGGCCAAATGGTGAAGGTGCAGAGTTCTTACCTTTCAATCAAGATTAACATTGATTAACATTGCTGAAATGAACTTGTGACACCAAAATGAAATTTTCCGTACACAATTTTTGGGGACATTTCCAAACCGATTCTTGATCAGAGTCTCTGGGCAACTTCCTCTTGGTGTTCATTTGATGTCAGTTCCCATTTGCCTTTACTTAGCAGTACACGTTAGCAGTAACCATTTTGTGCCCCTTCATGAGTATATTTACTGAAATTCAGCCAGGGACGCAAAATGGCGCGAGTCAAACCAACCCTTCTCCTCTCAGTGAATAATTGGCGCTGATCGGTCATTGGTCATCGTCTTCTTGAGCTTGACGCCTCGTCGGATAGCCACCAGAAAGTCCTCCACCTCGCCATATTCTGTCTCCTCCAGGAGCTCTGGGAGAGGCCGGCGCTCCCACTCTGACACCCGCCCACCGGGCTGTGGTGGTGGGGTTGGAGGATCTGACCCTTCGCACAGGTGTCGAGTGTCAAAGGGGCTGGTCTTTGGTGACAACAGCCCACTGCCGCCTGGTGACAATGGGGTGGTGGGGGGACTGAGCGGGGTCCTTGATGTGTTGCCATCCTCTGACATTGCTCTGCTTGGGAAGCCAGGATGTTCAGGCACAGTGGGGGTCTTGACTGGGATCATGGGGGGCTTGATTGGGATGGGGCCTAGGCTGAGGCCCCCGGAGGGCCGCCGAAGGTTAGGTTTGGAGGACGGTGTCCGTCGGATGGTGGCTACTCCAGGGGTGATTACAGCAGAGGGGTTGGAGGGCAGGCCAGCAGTGGAAGCAGGGCGTTTGGACTGAAACATGCGGCGGTATGACTGGCTGATGTCACTGTTTCTGGGGATGGTGGAGGATTTATCGAAGTCTGACGACTGCTGCTGCTCACTGTCCTGGTCCACGCCCACAGTGTAGTAGTCACAGTCTGATACTGTGGGGAACAGAAAACTATTTTACTCTATACTCTTGATTATTATTAAGTTCAGTACAACAACACATCTAATGGCATCTACACTGGTGGCGTTTCAGCCACATGTTTGAGTCGTGCATGTCTGACGGAACATATAAGCTTCTACTTTCAATATGGCTGTTCCCATTTTTTTACGCCTAACTATAGTGTTTGGTGTTTGTGTTTGGTTCTGAGCGCTACCAATTGTTGTGTAGACACGGTGTAAGAGGACCTGTTTGTCACAGTGGACAAAGCCTTTGTTCCAATGAGTTGGGTTTTTTTTTGATGCACTGCTCTGTGTACCCTGTGTTTATTTGCCAGGCTACCTCACATTTTTGCATGTGAAGAAGAAATTTCACTGAATATTTTCCTTGCACTATTTGTGCTAATTTGTTTATGTATCCCACACAATGTACCCCAACGACCCACCTGTATATAAGTTAGCTGTACCTAACTCGCAACTTATGCAGCCTTTATTATTTTCCTCCAGTCCCCGGAGAAGGAAACATTTTTCCCTCAAGTTGAAACATTTCCAATTTGTGCCACCTTCAGCAAGTTTGCACCATAGACTGTATATAAAGATGGACACAGCCTCTGTGACCTCATCACCTATCATCACCTATAGGTTTCTGTAGAGCGGTTTTGAAGCTGGGAGTCTGTGGGGATTGACTGACTGGCAGACAAGTGACAGACAGCCAAATTATTCAGTTGCCTAGCGACAACAACACATCCTTCACTGCCAACTGCTTCAGTGTGATGCATTTATATGCATGAGCATGGACTAGCTACTACTACCTGTCTATATTGATGGTAGCATGATGCGTGTGTGTGTGTGTGTGTGTGTGTGTGTGTGTGTGTGTGTGTGTGTACCTTGTGGGGGATGGTGTCCTCTGAGCAGCAGGGTGTGTTGGTCTGGCTGCTGTAGCCGCTGGAGCCCTGCAGCGAGTCTCGGCTGGAGCCGTGGATGTCCAGCTGGAGGCCTCGGGCCAGCGCTCTGGCCAGCTCCTCATGGGCCTCCCTGTCCTCCTGCCAGATTCAACACACACAGATGCAGAGACTTTGTTAATTAGTGTTTCTTGGTTAGTTGACAGTTGGCCTGAAATGTCACTCCACTATCTGTTTGGATTTGTTTTGAATCTCTGTCAGAATGAACATGTTACCAAAGCTCTGTTGATTTAAAAAACTGCCAGTGAGTCACATGACCTGTGTTTACAAGACTTCAGCAAAATAAACCAAATCAAAAAAGTTTAAATTTCTTTTTCAAAACACCATCTGACCTTGGGTGATGTCACAGAGTGGCTTCCTTTGACCCCTTGTGGCTCCGCCCCTGGTGTGGTGACATCAGCGCTCTGGTGGCTGCTGGGATCTGTAGTCTCTCTCCTCTCCTTGCTCCTCTTCAGGGTGTTGACCATTGGCTGGTCATATGGGCCTGGTTTGGCCCAGTCCTACACAGAGAGACATGAGCCAAAGCAACACAGTATTACACTTCATTCAATTACACCTCACTTTATTAACTGAAGAACTTTGATCTTTTTCACATTTTTGTCAGGGCTAAATTTGGGTAATTTGTGTTTTGTAATATTTGATGGGATTGATTGGGAATTTTGAAATTTTATGAATTAAATGATAAAACACTACAACTGACAGGCTTGTTAAGGCTGAAACAACATGCCAACTATACACAGTAAAAATTGTGAAAAACTTGATGCAAAATTTGATGCAGATTTTCACTACTGATCAGTTTTAATGATTTTTTACAATGATTTGATTAATAATTTATTTTATAAAATTAAAAACCTAATGACAAATGGATGGTTCAGTATAATCTAATTGTGGTCATAGTAATTTGTACTGTCCAATTAGCAGCAAAAATTAGGATTAAATTAATGTTCTGTTAATTACCTTATGAGTCACTCAACTTGTTTTTTTGTTTTGTTTTTTAAGCCCCACTTTTCAGCGGGGCATCAAAAAATTTATTTGAACTCTTATTGTTCCTCTCCACGGAAATCTTTAGTAAAAGGCGAAAGATTTATACGATCTGAAGAGAAACAAGAGTGATCTTCACTCAACTTGTTTTTAAGGACAAAACACAAGCTGCAGCCTGAATCTGACCACATCATCACAAAAATAAAATTACCAAAATTACAAAATTAAGGCAAAAATTAAGAGCCACGTTTTCACAGTAGAGAGCTGGTTGAGGGAGAACTGAGGCGTAGTGTAAAGTGTCCTTAGTGCCGCTAGTGTTGCTTTAATGTCTGCTTGTTGTGGTTATGAAACTGATAGACTGATGTGGAAATTACACAACATGGTGGACTAATGAAATTTATGCTTGTAGTGTAAGTAGCAAAGAAAGAAAAAGAAAATTCAGAAGAAAGAAAGACTGTCAGGATAAAGTGAGAGGACATGAGAAACAAAGCATAGGTGATAAAAGGATAAATTGTAGGAAAAGGAGGACGACATCGGGGAGAACGAGGATCAAACCTTCCAGGACGGGATTCTGGATGACGGGATCATTCCGAGCCCAGAGGGGCTGAGGGGAGGGAACTCTCCTGATTGGCCGGAGCCTGAATGAGACCACGGCCACGTGGGAGAGACGGACGAATAGGAGGGCGAGGAGATGGGAGAGGTGGTGGTGGTTGTGGTGGTGGTGGTGGTGGAGGAGTAGGTGAAGTATGGAGGGTGGAGGTGGGTGTCCTGGGCCTGCAGTACCACTCCGTGCAGACAGAGGGCAGCATGATGGTCAAAACCATTTGCCAACTGAGGGTGAGTGGATGGGGGAGAGGCAGAAAAACAAATTAAAGACGATGGTTATGACTGTTGAGGATGTGAAAACAAAGGTGCTACATTTTCCACGAGGAGCTCAGCAATCGTTTACAACAGAAGTGTGCTTTCAATTTGTTTTATGAGTACGGTTTAGCTTTTAATCTGGGGTCGTGTCCAAGTTTGTTTCTGCATTGATTTGTGTTTCCTCTTACTTCAACCTGGGCCCAAAGGCATCCCTTACTGCAACCACTCATTTTCTGAGAAGCTTAGACTCTACACAGCCTTACCCCAACCTCAACCAGTTACCTCTGTGACACCTAATCGTAGCCTAAACTCTGACCCCAATGGTGTGAAAACACTGAAAGTAAAGAAAACACATGACCAGTTTCAGTTTGGCAAAACACGCAGATTTGTTAAGTTTTGATGCTGACGCATCTCTTATTGAACATTTAATCTCTTGTTTATATTTTTAACTCTCTGGTTGAAATGACCAACATCATCATTGGCAGGTTATATCGGTTAAAATTTATGTCAAACAGTTAAAATATCCAGTTTAAGTGGCGTGAAAGCTGGTGAAAAATAAGGTTTAAATGTGATCAGGCTGTATCTGCTATTATTTTATACAAACATCTAATTTTTTAGGTTGTAGCTACATGTTGTCAAAAAGATGGTTTCAGATCTTTGAGTTTTAATTATTTAGTTACTTGTGAATGTGTCTGAACTTTTCAGGGCATAGATTCAAGTGGATTTTACAAACTAGCATCGAACCCAAACCCTAGCTCCTTCATGTTATAGCAAAGGTAAGGGTAAGCTCTTCCATTATATCAAGCAGTTCATATTATTCTTAGAATAAAATATAAATGCTTAAAAGCTCCATGCAGCACCTTCAACACAAAATGACACAAACGGGTAACAAGTGAAATGTAAAACAATCACCAAAAAAGCTTCGTGTGTGTGTGTGTGTGTGTGTGTGTGTGTGTGTGTGTGTGTGTGTGTGTGTGTGTGTGTGTGTGTGTGTGTGTGTGTGTGTGTGTGTGTGTGTGTGTGTGTGTGTGTGTGTGTTGTTCATGTAGATGTTCACCTGTTGTGTTGCAGAGCGGGGCTCAGGGTGTGTGGGTGAGGAAGAGGAAGAGGAGGAAGAGGAAGGCTCCTCATTGACAGACTGAGAGGGTAAAGGAGAGACACAGGACTGCAGCACAGCCAGATACATACACACACACACACACACACACACATACACACAGCGCAGTTTGCAGGAAGCACAGGCAGAAGCCAAGACAACAGATTAAAACAAAACCAGACAGAAAACAGCAGAGGAAATGTGACAGAGGTTAGTGATAAAAACATGAATCAGTCCAGCACAGTGACGAGAGAAAGAGCAGAGAAATTAACAAGTATCGGCATGAATCACAAAGGAAACAAGCAGCTGTAGCAGCACGAACAGGAAGTGTTACATGAAGCAGAAGCAGGTTCAGCAGGTGGAATGAAGAAGAGGAGCTAAAGGCTGTGATAACGTCTAATCACATGAGAGAAACCCGTGTTCATTCAGCGATCCTGAATATATATGTTAACACAGCATTATACATTTCACTTAACTGCAGTGAGTATATTAACATCCATGTCAATAAAAGTAACTGTCAACCCACTCCTTCACACGTGTTTTTGTGTAACTTTAAGCAACATTTTGTGTTTGAAAGGTTCTTCATAAATTAAGTTTATTAAGCTACGGCCATGATGGCAAACAGCTCGATCAGGTTCCTCAGCCTGGGAATAATAAGTAACAGTCCGGACAGTGTCACAAGCTCCCAGTGATTCTTTCTTTTTCTGACCCTAAAAAAATTAGTATCTAAAGATGTTTTAGGTCAAGTTAAAATCACATGGGAGCCTTTAGCAGCATTTTGAACATCTCAGAACATTGAGAGCTCCTGAATGTCACCTGTATGTGCATGTATATATGAAGCTGTTAGATAAACAAACCTAAACTAGACTTTTTAATAAACATCTTACACTGTTCTTAAATGAAAATTCCCTTTTTTTTTCTTCTTCTTCAGTGGGAAACTATTTGAAATTTGGGTTTGAACTGCTGATTAGTAGCCGGAAAATTTATTAGCAACTATTCTGACAGTTGTTTGATTGTTTCATTTGATTTTTGGAAACAAACTTTGCCACATGTTTTCGTGTCCCATCTTCTCAAATGTGATTATTTCCTGCTTTTTATCTATTTATATCACTGTGGATTAAATTTCTCTGGGCTTCGGTCTGTGTGGAAATCTGTAGATGTCAACAAACACTGACAAATGTTTGACATTGAAGAGAAGTACCAATCACAAAACTGGATGATTTAATCAATAATGAAAATTATCATTAGTTTCAGCCCTAATTTGGGTGGCCCAGAGTTTCTTCCCTGTGTCCTCACTCTGCCCCTGAACCACAGTTTAGGAAACCCTGCAGAGAATAAGGGAACATGGTGTCTAGCTGGCGTCTGGCATCTGTCTAGCCTACACTGTAGCAGCTGGGGTGACTCAGCAAAACACACACACACACGCACACACACACACACACACAAGAGCAGCATCAGGCTAATGAATACATGGTAACCTAGCAACCTGGGAGGATCCTGCGACCTGATAGGTTGAAGGAGGGTGGATCAGAATATAATGAAGAGGTCAGTGTGTGTGTGTGTGTGTGTGTGTGTGTGTACGGGTGTGTGTACGTTTTATAATAGGAAATAGAAAAACAGCATACTAACATTTGAATAGACCAACCATCCAAACCCTGAAGATGTTGAGTTTGTTGTGATGTAAAACTTCAAATATTCACATTTGAGAAGCTGGTAACTGAATATTTGGCATTTTTCCTTTAAAAAATTATTCAATCGACCAACTGATTGATTTCTGCCTAAGAAAATATTAAACTGTATATTAGGGGCCCAGCAACTAATTTTCTGCCACCTGTGAAGTTTTTCCTCCTCGGGGGGCCCCAGTGAGGTTTTCATCCTCTGCACATGCTCCTTACCTGCGAGGTCTCCGGGGGCATGGGTGAAGGGGACTTGGACTGGAAGGCATCCTGGGAAATGAAGCCCGAGTCGTGGGAGGAGACTGAAGAGAGGCGGGCAGGTGTCTGCTGTGGGAGCACCGAGGAGGAGGAGGAGGAGGAGGCGCGGTACCGGAAGTGGGAGGTGGGGGAGTGGCAGTGTGAGCCGCTGGAGCGAGAGTCGCTGCTGTTCACGCTGTTCAGGCTGCTGTGGGACGGAGAGAGGACGGACGAAGGGTTACAAATATTTGGACTGTTTAAACCTGAGGTTCTGCGACATGATGTCGCTGCACAGCTTTACAGTCGACACATCATGTTCTCAAGTTACACCTCAGAACAATTAAGCTACATTGAAGTAGGTCAACATTTTGGGAACAGTGCTGAGAGTCACCATTCTCATGTCGATCCATTAACTTGAAGACCACATCCAGCAGCCGGTTAGCTTAGCTTAGAATAAACACTGGCATCAGGGGGAAACAGCTAGCCTAACTCTAACCATATGCACCTCTAAAGCAGCCGCCTACTGCAGGATATAACAACCCATAAAACCACAGCATGACATTTTAACACTGTGGGTGACAGACAAGATATAATGTATTGATTAATGAGCTTTAGATGTGCCGATATGAAAAATAATACAGCGAGGCCGAGCTCAGGAGTGATGTATGCCAAGTGTTTTAGATGATATTATGACTCTCCACACTTTACAACTAGACATTATAGAGGGAAATAAAGTTTGATTCTGCAAATACAGGGTCTAATTTCTCATTACAGATTCATTCAGAAACCGTTTTCACTGAGTTTTTTTTTAACAAACCACCATGTTGTTCCTGCGTGAACATCTGTGACCCAAGCAGATTCACACAATGTCCACAATGAGCTTTACAATACTAGTGTTTGGGAACTGGGTCAACACACTGACACTAATGAAATCCCCTGCTGAGCCTGAAGAGGATAATACAAGACACTAAAATCAAATAATCTCCTCGTTGATGAACCAATCCTGATCACACATGACTCATTGATCTGTTAAAAGCTGCAGTTCCAGCTCTGGACCACGGGGAGGCAGTGTAGCATAGGCAGGATAATAGAAGAGACGTATCAAGTTTGTTGTGGAGGTTTGTAAGGAAGGTGGGCAGTTTTCTGCAGCCATGGTGACCAACCTGCACATGCTGGACTTCCTAGATACGGTGGTGCTTGGCGATGAGGGCGGGGTTTGATATGACCAGGTGCAGTCTGAGCCTTTCAGGTCCACGATTACCTGGAGAAGGAAGAATGAGGAAGTAGCCTTCAGAAAAAGTGCATTTAATGATTTGTATAGAAAAAAAAGTAGAATCTCAGCTTCTGTAAGCTTTCAGCCCAACCGCCTGTACCCTATAACCTGTTGTTATGAACTTACGAAAGCCACAAGCTGCTGAGAGGTAGAAAATGTGGGATGCTCTGGAAAATGGTTGCGTACAAGAAAGGTGAAATTAGCAGGATGGTTCTCAAAAAAAATCAGACGAGCAGTCGGAAATGGCGCCTGTGCACACACTGACAGTCGACATCTCAGCCCTCAACACAGTCTGAGACGACTGAATATGAGCCGGCCAAAAAAAAAAAAAATTAAAATCTAAAGACTTTCAGCTTTACAAACCGATTTTCAACAAATATTCTTTATTGTCTGAATCTGCAGTCAGTCTACTATTGTCATAATCATATCTGTAATCATATCTCTTTAACCTCAACAGACAGAAAGTGAAACAGGTTTACAACAGGGCTTGACAGTGAGCAAACAGGAACCCTAACTCTGAGTTCAGACAGTCATACCTGCTCACTGGAGGCCGGCAGCTTGTGAGGGTCCATAGTTAGAGCCTTCAGGTCGTCTGTCAGAGTCTGGAGGTGAGTGATCTCCCCCAGCATGGACATCTCCTCCTCCTGACACACACACACACATACACCAACAGGCTTTGAAATGTACTGAACACACATTCTTCAAACCAACAGGGGGCAGGTGTTTTTTTCTATGTACTTATTTGTCGATGTGACGTTACTGTGAACAATCTGTGACCCCTGGTTTTTCTTATTCATGTCTTTTCTGTGTAAAGAGCTCGGACGCATCACTGACCACGACAGGCCTCAGCATAGAGACGAAGCAGCAGAAGCGGCTCCTCTCCTCCACCAGCGCCTTCCTCACCGCCTGCTTCTCCGTCTCCTCCAGCAGCAGGTATTTATCACTGACGTCCTGCATGGCACTGTCCAGCTGAGGCTGGAGGTCACCACGACCTGGACACACACACACACACACACACACACACACACACACACACACACACACACACACACACACACACATTTAAAAATATCAGCCGCTAACTCCACATTGGGGCTGAAATGTACAATTATTTTTATTTCTTAATGACTGAGATTGTTTTCAAATTGACTGTTTTGTTTTTCTCACATATGAAGATCTGAAACCAGAGAAAAATGAAAAGGTTAAATCAATTATAACATTTAATGATTAATCTTGTGCCAATCAACTAATCAATTCATCAGCTTTACTCACAAGCATCAGGCACATTTTCAAACAGGAAGAAATACCTTATTATTCAGTGTTTCAAAAATGTTTAAAAAAATGCTTTAGAAAAAAAAGCATAAAGAGAACAAAACGAGAAGTAGCTGAATAAAAAGGACAAAAATAGAAAACAATTTAAAAGAGTAAAAGCAAATAAAAAAAAAATAAAATTTAACATTTATTGTCAGTTTTATCTCGTGTATTTTTCGCAGACTTAATCTTTAAAGAGGCTATTTGTAAGTTTTCTCTGCTGCTGAACGTGGTTTCTTGCAGGGAGCAGGTGGTGGTGATTGTCGCTTGAGCTTCAGCCATCGTTGCGTTTACAAGTTATAACGATCACCCTCCGAGCAGAACTACGTCTTCAGGGCAAATTGGAGGCTCCAGTGAGTCGCTAATGGAAAGTGATGAGATAGGCCAGAGCTAGCTGGTTAGCATGCTAACTTCAGTAGAAGAGAAAATGTGATGGATGTAAGAGTTAACACTGGTTGCTTTCCACCAGCTCTTGGTGAGTAAAGGAATGAAGTTTGATGCTGAACTCACAACATTTCTTCTAGAGTGGTAAGTAAACAGCTGTTCATGCTAACGTTAGCTACGTAGCAATAGCAAAAACTTACAAATAGCTCCTTTAAGTTGACCTGAGCTCCGACACTTTGTGTGTGATGATGAGGAAATTTAATCCAGTTCATCATAGTAACCTCAGAAAGACAGAGAGGAGGTGGCGAACCACAGACAGATCATTAAGCAGCTGTGAAATCGTTTAATTAATGAACAGAACAAAGAGAGCAAACAACAGTCAGAGCTGCCAACAAACCATTAACACACATTAAAGAATGAAAGGAGCTAACTATGTCAGGATGTCCCGCCTGGGAACAAACAACTGCTGGCATCCAATTAAAAAACATTACACACATTATTAGAGAGGTTACTGATTATCTTAAAACCTTTGATTACAAAGAACTACATTATCAATCACACGGCTTCACTTGTGAAACACTGAGATGTTTCATAACAGCTCAGATTTCATGTTTCTGTATGTAGATAATTAATTTGTAGTTCATTTACTCTGTTGATACAATGTTAGACTGATGTAATCTTTATTTATGTTCCCCATAGTAACATGCTGTTAGACTGGACAGTAATCCTTGCCACCTGTCCCGTATTTCAAAATAAAATGCATCCTGTATTAAATCAATGCGTCATTTCATTTATTAGCTATCTCCTCAAAGCGCTGTGAATGATATAATGTCAAGTAAAACTAAGCCAGTTACAGCCTACAAGTGGATTGGAGAAGTTTTTTCACAAAGAAGCTGGCAACCCTACTCCTGAGCACCAAATGTGGATTAATCCACTGCTGAAAATAGTCCCCAACAAACGCAGTGTTGTACTTTTTTGAAAATAAAACTATATATTTGTGAGCTGTTTTTAAAGATCATCAATAGAAACCAATGGATTTGGAGGAGACAGAGTAGGGAGGTCAGAAAGTGTTGAGAGACGGACTAACACATGGGATTTGTTCACAATAAGAAGCATCAGAAAAGAGGGAACACAATTCTGCAGAGCCAAAAGTGACCACATCACATTTGAAAATCTGGAAAGGAATTAACTGATCATTTTCATTACTGATTGCCAATGGTTTTGTAATATCATCGTCTGTACCACAGGACAGACATAAACATCCAGTCAGGTCCAGGACCGGGTTCAGACAGGAGAGAGCTCTGTCTATGTTTTCCCAGCAGAGGCTTCAGTAATACAGAGAGGAAAGAGGCGGCCGAGCTGCTTCAAGAGTTGAAAATATAATTTCTGGTTTCACACAAAATTAAAGTGTCATGATACAGAGGGCAGAAGATGTCTCTCTTTTTCCCTTTATCTCTGCATTTCCCTCTTCTTACTCTTTTTCTCTCTCCTGTTTCTTAGTTTGTACGTTTAAATGCACAGTAGTAATCTGGTCACTGTAAATCCGCATTATCACATTTCATGCCTGGATTATTTGAAGTTAATACAACACTGATAATACAATTTTATTATTAGTTTATCTATTTAACAGCTCAGCTGCTTCAGAACCTCGAATATCTGAAGCATGTAGTATGAAAACTAAAGAAGCCTAAAGCTGTTATTTCACTGTGTCATTTACATACTAATCATCAATTCATATCTGCTGCTGCTCATCACAGTTTCAGGTTGTAGGTTGAAGGTTGTGAACATTAATTAAGCTGCTGCTCAAAACCATTTAAAAAACGAAAGCTGATCAGAGATCTCTGAGTTTTATTCATTTTTTAAATTGAATTACTTGTGAAAACGAATCTGATCTAGACAAGATCTTAGAAAGGATATGAATTCAGTGATTGCATTCTGATCCTGGATCTGGATTTAATATAATGATATCGAACACTAAACCCTCGCAGTGAGAGGACAGGCTCTGTAGTGAGACAACCATCGCTTCAATGGTCTGACTTATTTAGACTTTTAGAGGTTCAGTTTTAGTTTCAATCAAACCTTGAAAAAATTGTAAATTGTCATTGTAAATATGAAAAATAATTGAATATGATGATTTATAGCTTTGTCTTTATTCATCCATTTGCTCAGTTGTCATGGTGACATTTTATACACAACCAAAGATATTGATTTTAAACAGGTGAAATCCAGTCTGGGATCAGGTTTCTCTAATCCCCTACTCCCAATCGAATCCCAATTTCCAGTTTACATGATGTTGAAGGAGCCAGATCACTTAATGAGCTAAGAGCAAATAAAATTAGATTCCCTCTCTTCAGTTTTTCTCTAATCTCTGCCTCCATCTTTAATCACAGGCACAGTGATGCAAAGTGAATGTTCGTCCCTCTCTCCTTATCTCCCGTCCTCCCTCCATCACTCTCTCATTAAATTCATTCCAGATCCATTCTAGGTTTCCCTCCCACTCTTGTTACATTCATTTCATTCCAACACCCTCGTCTCCTCCCATCTTCCCACTCTGAAACTCTTCTTATTCCCTCGTGACATCCACACCAGTGCAGGGGGAGTTTACTCTCGTGCTCTAATAACAGACTGAGGACCGAGGCAGCCTCGACCACATCTGAGGTTCCTCTGGGGTCGATCCTGGGTCCTGTTTATTTAGTCTTAAAGGCTCCATTCAAAGCTGGAAGCCATCGATTCCTTTGTCAGCAGCAACAACAAGCTCGTTTCCAGTCATAACAAGGCTCATTTTTGTACCGCGATTCAGACTGGAACTCCTTATTCTGTGAGCACAAGGCTTGTTTTGGTGTTTACTTGTGGTTCACTGCAGCTCAGTGGGAAAAGCAAAGCAGGCACACTGACATTGACCCCCTCACCCCCCCAACAACCCCTCCTAACAGTCTGCCACTCTAAATATAATGGATAATTGTGACACATTTAAAGCTGGTTTACACATTATTCTATCTGAGACCATGTTACACTATCCTACTGTGTGTTGCCATGTAATGCTACTATATGCTACGCTATGCTTTCTTACCAACATTACATGAGCCTTATGATATAGTTTAAACCAGGTGTCAGTAAATTTGTTAGTTTGCAGATTCATAGAAAACACTTCAGATAATGGATGAATCCAAACACTCTGCTCATGTAAGGATTTCCTGCTTTTCTCTGTTTGATATTATTGTAAACTGAATGTCTCTGGATGTTGGACTGCTGCTCAGACAAAACAAGAGATTTAACTCTTCTGACATTTTTCTGACAATAAATCAATTAACTGAAAAACTAGCAGGGCATTCAGAGAGCACAGTGTCAAACAACATACACCAGAGGAAAAAATTCAAACTCATAGTAAATGATTTGGATCTGCCCCAAAATGTAATGGGTTTGTCCCTGGCCCATGAGCCATTCCTCCACCAAGTTCGGTGCATATCAGTTCAGTACTCTCTAACATATTGTCCTTGGCAGAGGTAATGAACTGATGAATTGATAGATGAATCAACAGTAAAAAATAATCATTTACATGCAAATCATTTTTATGGATGTAATAGAGAAATAGGTCTATGTTTTTATATTATATTTTTTTGAGTATTTTTTATTTTTTTTCATTTTTGAAGACCCATAACATTTTCCTAAAGTTCAACGTGACGTCTTCAAAAGTCTTACACTTCACAATGAAAAGCAGCAAAGTTGGAACCAGAGACTCTCAGGATTATTTTCTTTTCTTTTTTTTTTTGGATAAATTAGATTAATATAACAATTCATCCTTTCGCTAAATTGTTTCAGATAATGGGATGGCGTACTCGATGTTACGCTATGATATAATGTGTTGTGTGTTATCTGATTAATTGTATTTATTTAATCATGTATTTAAACAGGGGGTCTCATAGAAATCTGTTTTTGAAGATTGTTGTGTGTCAGTGTTCTGTGTTACTGTGAGTTACCCAGCTTTGTTTTGTTGTGGTTGGATTGTGTAACGCTGTGTTACATTGTCGTGTCATGTGTCGCAATACAATCCAGGGAAACCTCCTCCCTGAAGACTCTTGTTTAGTGCAGCTCCGGTCTTTGTTGTGTTTCAGGCTTTCAGGTTCTCTGAGTCACACAAACATCTAAACAACACGGGAACATGTTTCGGTTGACTAACGTGGGCAGGACGTGAATGTAAAAAGCAGATGTCTGACGGAGGGAAAGTGTTGAAAGCGTTTTCTGACTGTCACAGATACAGAAACTAAACCACCAGAACTTTCTGTCTGATTCTCTCCCCACTGTCTGTGTGTGTCTGTAAACTTACCAAATACATCAGCTGGGCAGAGCAGAGCATGATGGGACACCATCAGAAGGCGAGGCAGGAATGAAAAAAGAAAAATAAATTATTTTAATTTTAAATTCTCACGCCCCTCCCACACCCTGAAAATAACAATACAGATTTAATTATCCCATGAAAACAACTGTTGAATTATAAGCGAGTCATATTAAATTGTTCCCAGCATCCCAGTTCATCTCTCAGAAGAGTGTGTTACTACAAATGTTATGTTACAGAACCAGACAACACTAAGGGCGTTTTCCCACCTAAAGTATTTTTGCTCTGGTCCGATTCAGCTGATGAATTTGTAAACTTGTAGCGTTTTCACCCTCGGTTCGGTTTGTTTTCACACAGAGAAAAATGCAAGTGAACCAAAATGCATCATTGCAAACCATGTGACAACGTTCACTCCTCTCATTGGTCAGATTGTCTGGCTGGAGCAGGAAAGTAAACACAGGAAGAAGGTTACGGGAACCGTCGAGCTCAAACTTGTGAGTTCACCTGCTAGTGGTGTCGGGTCGAGTTCAGAACTCTTTCACACCAAAAACAAACCGCTCTGGAGTTCGTTTGGGACCGGACGGAGACCACCTCCTCAAAAGGGCCTCGGCGCGATTGTAATAGTCAACACCAAAAGACTGCAAAACTGTCTTCACACCTGCCCAAACGAATCGTACCAAGGGGGAAAATGAACCATGGTTCGGTTTAACCAGACTAAAAAACGCAGGTGTGAAAACACCCTAAGTGACCAATCAGAGTTCACAAACCTTTCTTTGCTTTCTTCTGCAGCTTCAGAGTGTCTGAGGATCTCTTCTTGATCTCCTGACGGGCCTTCTTATACTCTGTGAGGGACACACACACGTACAGGTTGATGAAAACAAGCATCCAAAGAAACACACACCTAGAGAAACAGCACTGTGCAAGAGGTGAAGAAGGCACTTTAGATGTTCGGACACTTCAGGGAGGAGGCTGATCAGTCCCACATTCAGTCTGCAGCAGGGTGACGAGTCTAAACACTCTGAGTCAGTCTGGGATCACGTGAAGAGACAGAAGAACTGAGGCAGGTTCTCCAAGAGGCTGGAACGACCTACCTGCCAAGAACCTGAAGAACTGAGCGCAGGTGTACTGCAGAGAACTGCAGCTGTTTTCAGTCAAATCTCCAAAACGTCGACTTTTCATGAGCCAACAAAAACAGCCCTTCACTGTAATCTCACACAGATATGACACACAAACCCAAGTGCCTATAGGTGTGTGTCTAAATCTGAGCTCAAAGCCATCGAAGTGAGGACATTTATGTCTTGTCCTCAAAACTCGAGAGGGTTCAGACCTGGTTTTTGGGTTCAGGGTCCTCACAACTATAGTGAGACCAACTTGTGTGTGTCTTTGAGTGTGTGTGTGTGTGTGTGTGTGTGTGTTTGTACCTTTGGCGTGGTCTTTGTCCAGAGTGTTGGCGACTCGCTTCCACTCCTCCATCTGCTCCTGTAGAGGGTTGATCAGACAGTCCAGAAACACCCTGAAACACACACGCAAACACACTCTGTTAGAGCTGTGTGTGAGTGTCTGTCTGTCTGTCTGTCCGTCCGTCTGTCTGTCTGTCTGTCTGTCTGTCTGTGTGTCTGTGTGTGTGTGTGTGTGTGTGTGTGTGTGTGTGTGTGTGTGTGTGTGTGTGTGTGTAGTACCTGGCAGAATTAATATTGAAGTTCCTTTGTGACAAAACAAAAAAGCTTATATTTAAAAGCATGCAGACCAGAGAGTGGTGGACCGCCCCCTCCTGGTAAGGAGAGAGTTTCTGCCTCAAGTGAAGGAGTTCATGTATCTCTGGGGCTAATCGTCAGGTGAGAGTAAGGTGGAGCATGACCTCGACAGGACAGGTGGTGCTGTGTTTTGCAAAACCATTATCATGCTGCTAAAAAGGGGAAAAAACTGCATTGCATTGAACTTCTTTAAACCAATCACAATCGTTTTGGGTGGCGCTGAGCCCAGGATCCAGCGACAGGGAACTTGGGGGAACATTTGCACACACCTTCACATACCGGGACTGGGACACAGCTATTGTTTGACTGACTTTATAGCCTTTGTGATGTCCAGAGTGGAGGGGTTTTCAATGTTTTCAGTGGTGTCGATGTTACCTGCTTTATCCTCGAAGTCAGATCCCGACACGTTTTCTTCATTAATGAGTTTTTCAGCCATCTTAAATTTGTCCTCTACTCCTTTTCTGTGTTGTGATTTGCATAGATAATAGATAATATGTTTAGATAATATAATATTAAGCTTTAGCAACAGAGCAGCAGCAACCTCGACCACTCTGCACGCCGCCGTAACCGGGAAGTCTGGGACACAGGTATTGTGTTGGAGCAGGAGAACAAACATCCAGAAGACAACATATAGAGATAATATCTCCCCACACTGGGGTGGAGGGCGTCTGGGATACAGCGGAGAATAGATGGATGTTTGTATGTGAGGCTTCATTTAACCACAGGGTGACTCCTGTGTGTGGCCTGTTTACATCTCTCAGCTATACCGAGTCGGTGTGTTTACGAACTCAGTTGGACATCTCATCTTCTCATTTCAATGTGACTGACTCTTCCCCCTCCACACTGGGAGAGTTAATGGACTCGTGCAGAGAAAGGAAGATGGAGAGGAAGACGAGGAAGGAGCTGGGTCAGGAGGAGAGGAGAAGGAGACAAAGAAACAGGAGGAGCTCAGGGTGATGTTTCCAGGCTGTTGGAGAGAAGGATGGTTGGTGGAAGAACGGTTTCGCTGCAGGAAGTGAAGGAAGATGTGAAGGACTGAGGAAATTAGGTAAAATCCAAATGAACACAGACTCATTCATCTCAGGAGGCGGCAAATGGGAGGAAAATAGAAAGAAGAAGGCATGAGGAGGAGGAGGAAGAGGTCCTTTAGACATAGAAAAGATTCATGTGAAATGATTTTATCCATCAGACGAGTTAAACTCATAATAATAATATTTAAATTGATCAGGACCATTGTTTCAGTAATGCAGTCGAAGAGGGAGAGAGCAAGATGGAGGATGGAAAGCTGAAGCAGGAGGCGGAGCAGGTTGCCATGGAGAGCTGGGAGGAGATGCTACACCTGTTCATCTCACACACACACACACACACACACACACAGATCTACTCACATGGAGAACTGGCGGAGTTTGGCCTCGATGCTGCGGTGCCTCATGCACATCCTGGTGAGAGCTGAACCGATGTCCCTGGTCCCTCCTGAAAGCACACACGCACACGCGCAAACACACACACACACACACACAGAGTCAGTGTTACAAATATATAAGAGCCAGACTGATGAGGCATTGTGAGTATTGGCAATATCAGAAAATGTATTCAAAGGAGCTTATATTTTAAGTAATTTTCATTTCAGCCTTTTACCAGTCCTCTCCAACATTCATTAATAAGCAACACTAAACATGTAGCTGAACACTTTGTATTAGGGCTTCACAATTAATCCAAATATAATAAAAGTCACAGTATGGCCAAGTGCAATATCCAAATCACAGGAGCTGAAATTTTTTTGATGACAGGTAAAATGTGTCACACTGCACCCCCCATTCCAACTGAAATCACACATCGCAATGGCAATATCTGCCAAAATAATCGCAATATGATTTTTTTGTCGTGCAGCCCTACTTTGTATTCAATCAACAGCATGATACAGAATCAACAAGCCAGAAAAGACACACACAATATCAGTTACTTGGTACTGAAGGAAACTTCTAAACTGCATGATTCTGAGCCGAGATCAGACGCTGATCATAAACACTGAAGCTACTGGAAAGAGTATGAATCCAATTCAAACTCAGTCATATCTTCAATGTTACATGAATAAAGAAGACAAACAGTGAACCTGTTGATCTCCAAACAACCAACCACAGCTACAGTGTCGCCTTGATTTGATCAATCAGTGCAACTATGTTTTAACAGAGTGATGAAGTGGACCAACCCCTCAAGTTGTGTTAAAACCTGATCAACACAATCTGAAACGTTTTACTTCAGTGAAGAAAAAGAGAGAAGCTTTGACAACTTTACATTGAAGACCAGAGAATTAGACCGTTTTCTTTGGTTGCTTCTCAACACTAGCATCGGAGGTTAGAGGTCATGATTGCCTCCAGAACAGCAGCTCTGGATCTGAAAGGGAATTCAGCGTGGGGTGTAGAGGAGCCTTTCCGAGAGCGGACTGTCGGGGCAGCAGAAGCTCCACAGGCACCCGGAGGGGCCAGATGGTCGTCCTCTCTCTCCCCCAGACGGAAACACTCCCTCCCGGGGAAGAGTTCACCGGAACTCAGCCTGTCAGCCTGGAGCTCCAACAACAACTCCAACACTCACACACGCTGCAGCTTATATTCCTACACATGTGAGGACCTATGATAACCATGTCCATTCTCAAACTTCGACCTAAACTTTAAAGAACAGATACACCTTAAAACAGTTATTATATCTTATATCTTTTATTTTTAAGATCATTATCTTTATATTAAGAAACATGTGCGTCATGTCTATGAAGGGTCCTCACAAGTACAGTTGACAAACGTGTGTGTGTGTGTGTGTGTGTGTGTCTGGGGTGTGGAGCGAGCACTGCATTGCACCACTGACACCTCTTTCTCTCCTCTGCTCTTCCCTCTTCTCCTGTCTACATGTTCTCTCTCCTCTTCCTCCTCTTCATCTCCCCTCCTCCTCTCTTACACATCTTCGTCACACCCTATTCATTTCCCTCCCTTTACTCCTCTTCAGCTTCCTCGAGGCACAGCAACAAGGAGTTGTGTCTTAAGGCACAAAATGACTCTAATTTCACAATTAAATAATAGTAATAATAATAATGATCTAATAATCAGTTAGAGTTATAAAACTTAACTTATAAAAAGTCTGGAGTGACCAGTGTTTTAGTTTATTTTATACCAGGATCAGTTTTAATATTGTAATCCCCCCTATCCAGACTTCCTAATGTCTGCCCTGTATGCAGGTTAGGATAACTGGCAACTCTAAATTGCCCACAGGTGTGAATGAGCGTGTGAATGGTTTGTGTGCAGCCCTGTGATAGGCTGGCGACCTGACCAGGTTGTAGCCCGCCTCTCACCAAATGTCAGGTGGGACCCGCTCCAGCCTCTCTGTGAGCCTCAAGGATGAACACGTACAGTTAATGGATGGATGTTACCGTACTTTATTTCACAGCTTTAGTTACACATTAATATTTTACATTTTATATACACACGTTATAGAATTAATTAATATTAATTAACTGCCCAACAGTTTATGAAACAGTTAAACTGTCTCCACCTTGATGAACTACAACAGTAAACTCTTACTTTCAAATTCATGCATCAATAATAATAATCCAGTACTATAATATATGATAGTATAGCACTAACATGTTTCTAAATTATGAGTTCACTTATGATACTTTAGGTGCATTTTGGTAATAATATATCTAAAAAAAAAAAGGTAAAATATGGTTGTTTGTCTCTATACGTCAGCCCTGTGATAGACTGGCAAGCTGCCCAGGGTGTAACCTGCCCCCACCCAATGTCAGCTGGGATTGGCTCCAGCCCCGTTACCCTAAAAGGATACATGGTATTGATAATGAATGAATTAGCATCAATGTGGATTTTTATTTTATTTCTGTTTTTACTTCATGTAAAATCATGGAATTGCTTGATTGCTTATTTAAAGCAGATTCAAGGAGCCCATGTTGAATTTAATTAATAGTCAATACAGAGCACAAAGTCTAAATGTGCTACAGAGAAACTGAAGAGATAAACACTTCTCTTATATGGTCAAGTCCTCTTCAGTGATGCACCTAAGCTATAAGCTGTTATTTCTTTCAGTCAAACATCTAAGCACCACCTCTTCCTCCATCACACCATCCTCCATCCCTCTCTACCATTTTCACACATCATCCTCCGCTCTCCTCTTTTTGCTTCTCTCACATCCTCTTCCTCCCCTCTTCTCACCCTCAGATGAGGTGTTACCTCCTCTCTTCTCACCTCGCCTCCTCCTCTCTCGCTGCGCTCCTTTAAGAAACGAGGTGTTGTACTTGTGTATCAGTCCAGGCTAAACTCCCATCAGCCAGCAGGGCCCTGGTAGTACGCTGCAGACCAAACAGTCGTCTCGTCGAGGCAGCACAGCGCTTCGGTGAGCTTTAAAGAGGATGATGTTATTCTGAATGGCTGTGTTCAAGTTTCCGGTGGCAGGAAGCTGCTCACTGGAAAAGATTTCTATACAGAAATAGAGTCAAAGTTGAAAAGCAGACATCCAAATGAGCTCGGTGCCGAAGGTTTTCATGAGTCAAATGTGCTCTGAAGCTGCTCCCTGGCGCGGTTTCTACTAAATTTAAAGCTGCAGGACATGATCTAAAGACCCAGGATGGGTAGCGTGCAGAGAAAATGTGCACTTTCATTCGGCTGCAGCTCCCAAGATCAGATCGTTTTCCCAGATCTTCACGATTTAAACATTTAGCGCTTGAGGAGCCTGGGCAGGTTTCCACACATGCTTTAAGTCCAGGTTCCTAAGCCTCTCTGGACCCCGTCCTGCTGGACCCCAGCAGTTAGAGTGTGAATAATTCTGCGGCACCATTACTTTTATTTTTTGGAGTCAGTGCCAATAATATTAGCTGTTAAAATTCACATTTAGGCCAGAAGAGCCACAGTCAAAATCAGGGCTAAATTAGAATCTTTTAAGGTTCTTTCAAATGTGACACTACGTTTGAATTAGATTTTCAAGAGCCTGGATGGATTTCCTAATGAGTTTCACAGAAGTTCTATTTAAAAATATTAAAAAATGACCAGTGTTAGGACTCATACACAGAAACCCTGGGTTTGGAAACTTGAGCTTTAAACTGAGAGTGGAACAAAGGGAAGAAACGCAACAGAAACTGCTGAGTAAAGTGTAAAAGTAACCTGATCCTCGCTGAGCCAAGACAAGTCTTCAACAGATACATGAACCTGCACTCAGGGTGATCTCTCTCAAAACTCCACCTGAGCTCAGGTTGAAGTTTTACTGTTTAAATAAAGTTAAATATTTAAATTATACAGTTATATACAATAAAAATAACCTTTTTTTTTTGGTGACACAATTTGATCGAGCTTCCTGGTTCTAGCGGAATAGTGCTGTTCCTGCAGGGTCACAGTCGGTCAATTAGTTCCTGGTCAATTCAGCTGATTGACCCAACAGCGGACTTCTCACGCTGGGTACGTGTGTGTGTGTGTGTGTGTGTGTGTGTGTGTGTAATGACATCGGCATCTAGACCCAGTTGACCCAATTCACTGGGACAGAGCAGCGTCTCTGTCTGAGCTGCAGCCGGTTCACTCTGATCTCGGCTGAACGGCCTCGAGGCTCCACAGCAGCTCATCTGCATGTGAGACCGGGCAGGACCGGTTCAGCCATATAATATCCAGATAAAATAGGTATCTTTACTGACTGTCTTTATCCAACCTCCAACCATGAAGGTCTAAAGGAGTTAGACTGAACATTTTGCCTCATTTTATACAGGAAAGTGTGTTTATTCACAACAAATAGCCAACAGACCTACTGCAGTAGTTTCTTTCTGCGTTAGTATCAAACCTGACATTTAGAAACTCTCATAGACTCAATCTCGCTCATGTCAGTTAATTCAGTTAATACTTTCCCCAATGCTGTGTTCATGAGCTGTCCCTTTAAAATTGTACTACCTGGTATTCAGTCACGTGTCTCCGTCCAACTAACGTTAGTCCATGTTCACTCAAAGTGAAGCTGGCAATGTGGAGGACACCATCACGAACACTGAGCCACAACCTGAGCAGCTTCTACCTACAAAGAAACTGTGTTCATCGTTTGGGCTCATTTTGGTTTCAATGAAGACGACACCGAACAAAAAAAAGGAGACAAATGAAATTTGTCAGCTAGAGCAGTGTTTAAAAAAAACAGTAAGTATACGTTCATTGATCAGATCAAGGTAAAAGTTTGAAATAATCATTTGAAGTCATATCACCAGGTCCCTATTTTTCTCCAGACCCTCGCCGCTGTTCCCTCGTCTCTTTATGCTCATGAAGCGAGTTGAAATATACTCAACTCACACAAACATGTCTCTGCCTCACATTTAGCTCAGAGCGAAAGCTGTGACTCCTGACATGTTTCCATTGACTTATGTCCAAATTCCCTTTCAGCTCAGTCTGAACACACAAAAGACGCCACTACCTTGAATGACCTTGAGAATCAGATGAGTCAGACTGAGC